TCAACTGACTCTGGTTGTGAAAATATAGTTCCAACTAGGGACTCTGCTTCTCTGTGGGATATGGTAAACAATCGCTCGCCGAATTATGAACCGCCCGAGGCGTGTCGGCGACTTTGGAAAGAATTCGGCACCAATACTGAAGCTGGCAGACACCTTCGCGCGTTGTACGGTAAGCAAGCTTCACTGAGCAATGTATTCACTGTGAGTTATTGGAAGGTTCTGCAGACCAGCAAAATGCTTATCATTCGATTAAGTACCCCCCTGTTAAAACAATGCAGAGAAAAGCACCACAGGTCTCGGCCGCGCCAAAGCCGAAAGTGTGACCGCGAGTTCAGCTTGAGTGTGAAGCTGTGCGGACCCTCAGCCGCGGGTTCAAGTTCCTCGTGTTGGTGGACGAGGACCGAAGGGAACGTCAGAGGAGCTCCCATCGAGAAGAGGCGTGAAAAGCCAGAAAAGCATCGAAGAGGAAATAAAGAAGTCGAGGTTGGCGGCAACCTCCACGAAAGTGGTCATCAAAAGGCGTAGGCCTGTTGATATCATACTCCCTCCTGGCCGCAATGTTGAGGCCGAGAAAGATCGTCTTGCTGAGCTTAACCAGTTTGCAGGTGGGCCTCTAGGCTTGCCGAAAGTCTCCCTGGTAGGAGCTGCGAGGGCAAGAGCTGGTAGGCTGTGACTCATCGTCTATATGTTGAGTATTGGCTTTGATTGTACAGGAGGTGAGATGAAGAGCAACGGTGCCAACACAGAGCCAGATCGCATGGTGAGATTTCATGACTGCTCGCTTCCTCAGCGTAGTGACTCCGGCACAAAGCCTCGCTATCGTTTAGTGACCATCCAGTGTTGTTGCTCAGCATCATCAGAGCTCCTCCGGGATTTCTTATTGAAATACGATTGAATATACTTTCTGGGGCGAGCCGGGAGACGCGGGAGTTGTAAACGATCCTTGCATAGAGTCTTTCGGTCACTTGATGGAATGTGGTGGAACAAGTCGCTAAATTACCTTCGCGCAAATATGTCGTCGGAAGAGGAAGAGAAAACAACACTGCATCGATGCCGGGTTAGTTCAACGAACTGAAGAAAGAGATGAAGGCGAGAGAAGAGCGATTATTGCAACTATCGGGTACAGTTGAAGTTGAATGCAAGAGACCAGCCCCTCCCGCGGGAACTCAAGCAGCCCGCAATCGATTCAAAAGGATAACAGGTAACATTGCGTCACCCAAACTCTCCCCTGCTTATATTCATATATATCGCCATATATAACATTCATATATAACACCACTCTGCAATCCATGTTCTATTTTTGACTGGATAGGTCTCTCACGCCTCACTGCCCTCTTCTCTTGTTACAGTAGTTATATGAGGAATACGCCCTTTCATAATCCCGTAGACGCAGTATTGCTGGTCCATTGGTATGTTAGGATCGGGAAACACTCGGTGGTATAACTCTCGGTGATGCTAGTTTGCGATAGTTGCGCCCATTCTCTGTGATTCTGTCTATCCTCAGCTCAGAGGAACGAGCTCCTTCAGCTCGAACATGACCTACAGCGCCACGCCGAAGACCTCAACACTTTGTCTCAAGCCAAGCGAGCTGCCCGACAATCATGATGTCCATGTGTGTAAAATGCTCATTCATGGTGTTGGAAACATTTGTGTTGTAAGTAGCGGAGCACAACTATCGATCGTACTTCAATGAGAGCTTGTTTCAATGTTGGGTGATTCGATCACCTGTTTCATGTTGAAGTTGAGCTTCACACTACGGAACTCAACGACGGTCGTTGATTATGGAACTCATGGAGCTGCTACTGCTATACAATTAGTTCACGGAGAAGCCTGAAAGTATCTCTGTAGCCACTCAGGTTTTCACAAGTAGAACATCGACCGCCTTCGTATATCATGGCAACTGAGCTTTCGCTTAACAACGGCTCTGGCCATTGTGTGGGGTTATCCCTCTTTTCTACATCAATAGTAAGCGTACCTGCTAGCGTGAGCTATACGGAGGGTCGCCCGAAGTGTACTATTCCTAAGATCGGTCTCTAGGTTGGTCGCAACACCTTTTGAAGGCCTATTTCGCGTTTATGTATGCCACAATCAAGGACGAAGAATAGATGCGCATAGTCGACATTAACTAGGAACCAGATGGCGCATGATCATCATAATTGAAATACGGATGCAGCCTCTCCAGAACGACCTCTACAGTAGCGGTCCCAAGATATGCTACAACTTGAAGAAGAGTGTCTCATGAGAGGATCATCACGATGAAAGACGA